GCGAGTCACAAACTCTAGTCACAGCCCGATAACCGTGATGGAAGGAAATCAAGGTGGAACCTGGTGGCAGGAACTGAGCCAGAGACCAAAGAAGATGCTGCTTGTTGGCTTGCACAGCTTGCTTTCATGTATACCCCACCCAGGTAGTAGGAACACCCACGGTGAACTGGGCTCTCCTCCATCAATCATCGGTCAAAAGATGCACCACAGGTCAATCTGGTGGCGTGTCTTTCCTCAGCTGAAGTTCCTTTTCCCAAATAACTCACATCTCAAGGCAGAACTTAAAAAAAAATGGGTACTTTGATTGTACACAGCTTACCAACCACATTTGGTATGGATTGTCCCTTGGGCCCTTACCTTGTTGAGGGGTGATTAAGAGGATAAAAGAAGTCCAAGTCTGAGTTGAACTGCCACATTTCTATGTGTCATCGTCAGACCCTGGCTCACCAATTTCAGCAGGTTCTTTGCTGTACTCTCCACAGGGGAAGCTGCAGTCAGTACAGTCTAGATCTGCCTCAGAGAGACTTATAGAGATTGCGGCTCCCCATCCTCTAGAGTAGCGCAGTGTACCTTATGGTTAAGATTCCATAGAGTAGGTCTAGAGCGATGGATCATGGGTTAAGAGCACATACTGCTTTTCCAGAGTTTGATTCTCAGCACACATGTCAGGCATTTCACAACTACCTAATCCCAGCTCCAAGGGAACCCAATGCCTCTGGACTCTGTGGGCCCCAGCAGCCACATGTGCATAGACACACACACACACACACACACACACACACACACATTCTATACAGTAAGCCAAAGCATCTTGCTTCCTTAGTGGCTGTCCCAAGAGGTAAGGTCTACAACCAAAAGAAAATTGGAGTGCCTCTGGCCATAGGAAAATTTTGACCAGTGTGCTCTTCCTGGGATTCTAGGTGCAGTGGTCCTTAGAGCTCTCAGCTGAGCCAGTTGCTCTTCGCTTTTCTGGTTGCCAAGAACCATCATCTTGCATCTACTTTCCGCTCTTGTTTAAGTCCCCCTTTCTTACACCCTTGTTGCTCTACAATTCAGCCTCTCTTTCTTACCCAGAATGCATCAGTGTGGACTCTTCACTTGGTTTCCAACACAAAACAAAACAGAAATCTCAACTAATAGATCCTAAGACAATAATGGTACCCCCCAGAGATTCAGACTTTCAATTTAATGTATGAGTCCCCTGTGTGGTGGAGTTCTGCTGTAAAACATCAGGGGAGATATTTGCATAAAGAGGAGGCAATCCTAGTCCTATTCTTTGTTCTTATTCTGTCTAAACAAAGGCAATACTATTAAAATCTAAGTAGAAGCTAAGGAGAAATCCCCAGGATGCTACAAAGAGTTTGCCCTTCTGTTTCTATTTCTTTTACAAATTGGCTCAGTGCCATGGACCCTGTGGAGAGACAGTGAAATTTTTTAAAATGCAGAGGAGGAGAAAGCATCCTGGAATCTGCCTTTTTCTCAAAGGAACTCAGAAGGCTGCCTGGCCCTGTGATGCGTGATGTACTGCACTTTTTCAGAACAGAGCTGCTGACTTGCTGGCTGGAGACCAGTACTGGCCTGTGTTGGCAATGTATGGATTCAAGCCTCTGGTCTGGCCCCAAGTGATGTGTGGCATCACTGTCATCTGGTGCTGACAGTGTTTATTGCTTTGGTCTGTAGCTGCTAAGATGAGCACAGGGCTAACTCTTCTCTCACCCTATGTTCCAGTTGTGGCAATAGCTTCAGCTTCCTCCTCTGACTGATAGCCTTTAGCATCTGGATTCCTTTTGCTCGTGTTCTGTCCAGAGGCTGGCTTCTGCTTTTGTCCTTCACATCTGGAACCTAGTCAGAGTGTACTAGAACAAACTGTTTCTAACATTTGAACCCTTTTGTAAGCCTGCTGATTGCAACTTGGGCAACCAGCTTCATCCAAGGTAGATGCTTTCTGCTGCTTTGAGGGGAAAAAAAATAAATGTCTAAAAATAAAACCTAGGCATAAAAATAGGGCCAAATACTCATTAACTGCCTGCCTCACTTAGCTGAATGCTGAAACTATTTCTATAGTGTTAAATCAAGCTTTTGTGCACTTTATTTATGCCGCTTTATCTTAGATGATAAGTAGGTTACTGTAATTAGTCATTTTATTCAAAATACATGAATTAAATTGTCTCAAGGACCCAATTTTCAGTTCATGCTTATGCTGACCCTTGGACTGGAGTACTTGCGTTCATGAGTCTCTGAGAATATACACTACTGGATGCTGTGGGGGAGGCTTAAGAGGGAAGAAGGCGGAGCATGGAGAGCTTACTGTTGCAGGAGGAAGAATTTAAATCTTCATCTTGGTGGTGGGAAGCCACTGTGGGATTTAATTAGGATAATGTCACAGAATGACTTATATATTTTAAGAATATGATTCTTGACTGTTGTGTTGACAGTGATCTATAAGGAGGCAAGGGCAGACAAGGATTATCATCCAGATGTCTATTTTTAGATTTCCACATACGACATAGTGGTGCATTGAGTCTCATGATTACAGAGGAATGGGAGAGAAGGAGACAGCAAACTGGCCAATGGACTTGATGTGGGCTTGAGGAACTGGAAGAAAGAAGCTTAGCTTTTGGCTTAAACAATGGAAGAATTTGGTATCAGTTATCAGGATGAATACTCCAGGGAGCACATGATAATTCTTACCATTTGGTTTTGTTGAGAATGGAGCCAAATGAAAGGGGGATAAAGCACATATCTCAGGCTCAAACTGACTTTGTGAATAGGCTTGGCTCACAGGAGAAGTTTCAGAATCCTTAGTTCTGACAGCTTGCTCTTCTATGGAATAAAGGAACTCACTTACAGAGGACATGGGTAGAAGAAAGCTTGGGGACACTCCCTATTTCCACACAATCAGGACAAGCAGAGAAGAACCAGAAAAGGACCAAGGGATGCAATAGAAGGAAAAGCAGGGAAAACAGTACTTTGAAGCAGTCTTCAGGCATAAGTGAGGTGGCAGGGTGGGGTGGGGTGCGGGAGCTAGAGGTCAGCTGTGCTATGGCACTCGGGCTGAGTAAGAGGGCATGATATCATATGGGAGTTCTTGATGCCACTGACAAAGGTCAATTTTGATACGGCCTACAAAGAGAAAGACAGGATAGATTAAGGTGAGCCAAAAAAAAAAAAAAAGAAAAATGGAGATAGTTACTTAGTGAATTTTTTTTTAAGGATTACTGAGGTGAAAAGTAGGTAGGTACCCCCCCCCCCCCCGGTATTATACAGGTAAAATAAAAATTAATAAATTATAAAAATATGAGTTTACTGATATTTTCATACAGATTGTCATTGTGATATAGTATCTATTCATACCTTGCACATGTAATTAGGTCTGTAAGAAGAAATATACCTTATTTTAATAATTAATGCTATTTTTTAAAAGTTTTCATTTTACCAAATATTTTGCTTTGAAGGGATAGAAGCTGATAGATAACATTTTAGTCCTGCTGCAAATGTTCACCCTGCTTATATTTTAGCATTTGTTTTTGTCTTTATTGCTCTTCTGATTTTTATGCAGCTATATTTTAATAAAAATGAACAAGTTTAATAGAAAATGAACACATTTTAATAGAAAGTCAGAAAATGAGTCAAGTTGAAGAAACTCTTTGCAAAGTTGCAAATTCAATTATTTCCTTCCAGCCTTTAAAATGTAAAATTGAAACTATAAATTATTATGCTACTGGGTTTTGTTTTGATGGAGGAGTCTAATTTAAATTTTTAGAATAATTCTAATCATTCTAAAATTTTATATCTTATGGCACATTTAAAGTATTCTCAATTGTAGAACTGCCAAATGATTCTTCAAAATCTTCTAATGATTTTAAAACAAATTATAGGCTATTCTTAAAGACACTGCTTCTCAAAGAGAAAAATTAACTCTAATCCCATCATTCAAGAAAATCAGTTCTATTTTATGTGAAACTATGTTGTGTGTGGACAAGTAAGTAATCATCTGTATTAGTCACTTGTCTGGAGCTGTAATAACACACCATGAGCAGAAGCAACTTAAGGAAGAAAGAACACATTTGGGCTTATGGTTCCAGAGAGATAAGTGTCCGTCATGGTGGGGAGTCATGACAGCAAGTGACAGGCATGGCAGCAGAAACAGAAAGCAAAGAGATAATTTCTTTAACAATAAGAATGAAGTGGGAGAGGGGGCTGGAAGTGAGGCCAGACTATAAACTCTCAAAGTCCATACCCTACCCAGTGACCTACTTCCCCTTCCTCTCGCAAGTCCACACCAACTAAGCTTCCCCAAACAGGTCCCCCAACTGGGGACCAAGTGTTCAAACATCCGAGACTATGAGTAGCATCCCTCACTGAAACCACAGACAACTGTGTGTTGTCCCCAGGTCCCATTTTAACAGCAGCCTTGTGGTGTGCACCAAGGTTGGTGTCATCCTTGGGCTGTTTTTATGCATGATTATAAACAGCGCCATAGCTATCATCAGCATTTGATATTGAATTGAGTTTCGTTTTAGTATATTTTACTATAAAAACCCTGTAGAAGGCTTCATAAATAACAGCTATTGTCTAGAGAGCCACTGCAGGATCACTGCCAAATCGCTATTCCTCAGCAGCCATTTATCAGTGACTAACACACTGCACACCCAGCTCTGGGTGTCAAGTCCACCCTTTAGCGTGAACACCGTCGTGTAGATTTGGTGATGGATCCTGCTACTGTCTTGTATGCACAAAGGCATGTTCTTCAAACAAACAAATAAAAACCAGGAGCATAGTGTTTCAAGTTGTATCATAATTGAGTTTTCTCCTATGCGGCAGGAAGGAATTCAATGCCACTGAGCTGAATTTGTGTGTAATGGCTACAGCAAATTATTAGTATGATTGATATTAACTTAATCTCCTGGAGTCAGACACTGTAATTCTTTTCAATTGCATACTGTGGTTCTTCTGAAGTTACAATTCATAATGTGAAGTTTTTTTCTGTTTTTCCACAGCACAGTTAATATGACCTCCACAAGACATGAAGGCACAGGCTCTGCTGTGTGTCTTCTTCGCTGTCACGTTGTACCCTCATGGATCTTTTGGTAACTTCTTTGGTATGTCTTTGTAATATGGGTGTTAGTTATTCGTATCACTTGAGATTAACAGTAGCACAAAAATAAATTGGATATGAATTGTACATTCCTTATCCAAACAGCTCCAAAATCTAAAACATTTTGAGCAATGACATGACACCACAGTTGGGATATTCCACCGCTGACCTCTTGTGACAGGTGACAGTGAAAACACAGATAAAAATTTTCCATTAGTATGCATATTCCATTCCTGTGTATAATGTGTACGCAGAATGTAAGTGCCGGGGACCAGTCTCGACAAAAATACCACTTGCTAGAGAAGGGGTGTGGGGATTTAGGAAAATTAATAAAGAATACGAAGATGCATGAAAAATAATAAAACAGAAACCATAGAATAGTGTTGGGAGGGCGTTCCAGCGAATACTGAAATTGCCCGTGTTTAATTTTTCATATGCTTTTATTGCCCAATGCAAAAGGGGGAAGAAGGCAAAAGAAGGCTTCTTTAACATGGTACAAAGGACAACTTGAACAGTTAATTGCCTTAATACTTTGAGGTATCAAATCATAGCATTTGGTCCTTTATGTAGTGAAGCCACTCTAGACCAAGTATCCTGAAGGCAGCCATTCCCCAGGTAGCCTCCAATTACAAATGAAGGAGCAAAAGTATACTTGCTTATCCAGACCATCTGCCAGGATGGAATGGATCTACTTGTGTGAGCTATCCTCATGTCAAGAGAACCAGGTAATCACATCCTGAATCAGAACATTGCAGCTACGCTTGTCAACCATTTTGAACAACTTCCAAACTCTCTGACGATCAGACAAGGTGGCAGTAAGCTTACATTTTTGGGTCTCCTTATGTAAGTGAATGGTACTTAAATTGGGGTCCTTTCCCTCAGTCATCTCACTATGGATGTTCAAATACCCTGAATCTGCAGAAGTCCAAACCAGCTCTGATTTCAGCTGTGGGGACTCAAAGTGCATCTCCACAGCTCTGGGGGCTCGCTTTCCTGAGTGATCAGTCTGTGTCTTAGCAGAAACAGCAGCCCAAAAGTATACAGAATGTTAAAAGCCACATTTTCCTCTCTGTGCTCTATTTCTAGCTCTCTAATATGTTATCTGTTACTAACATCACTAGAAAAGAATGTTTGACTGATGCAGTGCCAGAGTGGAAGTTTGGTACCCAAGCTTGACGGATTTCCAAGGTTTTATCATCGACATTCTTTTTTTTTTTTTAAAGCCATCATTATCATTTTCCTTTTACAGAATGCCATCTAGATAAACTGTTTTCATAAGCATCGAATCTTAGAAGGCTTATCACACACAGACAAAAGTGCCAGCAACAATTAGCATCATAGCAGAAGCACACAAAAGTCCTTTACATACCAAATCAGCTTTACTATGCAAGTTAAATTCAGAACTTTCAGTCAAATACAATAATGGGGTTATCACACTGGCAAAAACTAAAATTTTAGACTTCTTACGGATTTAGAGAAAAGTTTCAGTTACATATGTTGGGTTCACAGTGTGTTTGTGGGGAGCAGGGTCTTCCGCAAAGATAGCAGAACACCAAAGTCTAGTAAACCAAACTTTATTCCAGGAAAAAAAATTAAAAATTAAATCTTCATGGAGCACAAATGCTTATCAGCTAGTTGAGACCACAGTCAAGATGGATTTGTAAGGTTGTGGCAAAGGACAGCTTTTGAACCCTCCCTTTTTATATTAAGAAGCAAAAAGCATTAGGCAATAGCAAAGGAATTTTTACAATCTTGAGGGGAAACATAGACACAAATTGCCCTTCTTTGCAATTTCCATCAACAGATTTTTTTCAGCTAAACTAGTGTTTGTACTTAGTCCATTGTTTTCCTGCTGTTCCCTGGCAGTGCCTACAGAGGCTCTGCACCTACCCCGACACTGCTAATTTCGCATGGCAGGAAAGGGTATGGGAAAATGCACAAGCAAAAAGCCAAAAGTCATGTACATTCCATCATTTAAAAGTTAACTCAGCTCACATCAATTGCTGGTCATGAGTGGCCAGGGGGTTATCTAAAATCTGGCCCTCAGTTTGCAGAGCTACCCAAAGTTTGCAGAGTGCCGCTTCAGCCTCACAAATAGAGCTATGGGTTGTAGAGTGGAGTAGCCCACTGTTAATAGTTAATCCTGAAGCTGCTGAGAAAGCTGCTGACAGCCTGCTCTTATTCTCCTAGGCTTAAAACTTTATATTTATTTATTTATACTTATTTTTGGAATCTACAATTTTATATTCTCATTCTTGGACTCTTCACACATACATTTGGTGTAAGTATATATTATATAACACACACATATATAATACACAAAATCAAAAAACCTTTTTTAATTGAAAATAATTTTCATGCAATACATTTTGACCCCCTTTCTCTTCTCTTCTCAAAACCTTTTCACCTTCCCACCCATCAAACACCACGCCTTCTTTCTCCCTCTTTATAAAAAAAAAACACAGGAAAAAGCAAATCAGAAATATTAATCACTCCAAAGAATAAGTATGAGAAACACAACTACACACATATACACACAAAACCCATTGAAAACACAAAATTAAAAACCATAATATACAAGCAAAGGACCAGCAAGTTTAAAGAAAAAATGTTCAAACAAAGCAATATAAGACAAAAATAAAATAACAACAACCAAAAAAATACTCCAAAAATACCATTGAGTTCTTTTTGGCTCTCTATTGCTGGACATGGAGCCAGCCCTAAAATGTGGTTAATATTACCAATGAGATTGCATTGGAGATAAAACTGATTTTTCCTTTGCCAGAATTATAGATTGGAGAGAGTTTCTTGTTTAGGGGTGGAGCTTGTGCTCATGGCCCGCTCTCAGCACTCCAACCCTGTCTAGCTGGGACCTAGGCAGGACTTGCACTATGGTCTCTGTGTGTCAGTACTGGTAAAACTGTTATTATTTACTCAGGACAAATGGATACAGAGGGCTTTTTTCTTTTAAATTGTTATTTATTTTCATTTTTATGTGCATTCTTGTTTTGCATACCTGTGTAGAGTTTTGGGTCCCCTTGGATTGTAGTCACAGACAATTGTGAGCCACCATGTAGGTGCTGAGAATTGAGCCCAGGTTCTCTGGAAGAGCAGTCAGTGCTCTTAACCCATGATCCATCTCTCCAGCCCCACAGAGGGGATTGGTTTAAGTAACAATTCAGATGCCAGGCTCTGCATCCAAATATAGTGAAAATAGCCTTTACCAGTCACTTTGCACACATGAAGCATATACACCTTTACCATTTAGAAATATACACAATGTAGAAACACAGTTTTACTGCTGAAAGTCACAAGTACTTAACCCACTGAATGTACAAAAACCACTTCAAAATAGCTGCTTACAAGGTAGCCATTCAAAAGACTATAACCCAAGCAGACTCTGGAGTGAAGCCTTATTTTTTGTTCTTTTAATTTTTTAAAACATTTTAATTAATTCCTCAAGAATTGCACACAACGTACTTTGATCATATTCACTTCTCCAACTCCTCCCATTTCCACCATCTCCATTACCTCACCCAGCTTGGAGATGAGAGTTAAGTGATGTGCTGATATAGGGTTACAGCAGTATGTGATTAGGAGTTGTTCTAGGGTTGTGTTCATGCAGCTGAATAATACGTGATGCACTATTTTCACTCCCCATTCATCAAGCAGTGGACATCTAGGCTGTTTCCATTTCCTGGCTATTGTGAATAAAGAAGCAATGACTATTGAAGAATAAATATCTCTGTAGTAAGATGCAATGACCTCGAGCATCTGTGCAAACGAGGTAGAGCTGGAACATGTGGTAAATCTCTTTCTAGATTTTTGAGGAAACTCCACACGGATTTCCATGATGGCTATAGCATTTTGCACTCCTAGCAGTGGTGAATAAATGTCCCCCTTTCTCATTATTCATGTCAGTATTTCCTGTCTTTTTCTCTTAACTCTTGGCTATTTTGATCAGAGTAAAACAAAATCTCAAAGTAGTTTTCATTTGCCTTTTCTTGATAGAAAAAGATGCTGAGCATTTTAAAAAATATTTCTTAATTTAGAAGAAACTTCTGTTTCATCTTTAACGAACTCTACGTTTAGCTACTTGCATGCCCCATTTTAAGATTTCAGTGTTTATTTTCTTGATGTTTCATTTCTTTGAGTTATTTGTATATTCTAGACACCAACCCTCTGTAAGACGTTTAATTGGTAAAGATTTCCTTCATTCAGTAAGCTGTCTCTTTACTCACTGATTATGTTCTTTGCTGTACAGAAGATTTGGGGTTTCATGTAGTCCCATTTGTAGTGGGGCAGCAGAGGGACTGGGCAGTACAGCTAGAGAATCGACAATGACTTCTTTGCTTCCTTACTGTCCCACATGTTTCTTTTTACGTAATGCTACAGCTCTTGCAGTTGCTTCAGAGACTCTATGTCTCTCTGAGAAGAGCAATAAAGCATGGTCAGAGAGAAACAACCACAGGGGGTGGACAAAGGACAAAGGCAGAAGACATGATGCCACTGCTCAAGTGTTCAGTCTCAGGCAAGGTTGGCAAAACTCCAAAAGGATTTATTCCATTGTCCATAATAGAAGGTTCTTTCTCACCTTAATATCTCAGAATTCAGCGAAGAAAATAGGACCTACTTACAATTTTTATAATTAGTCAAAGAAGTAGATACAATTTTCAATGCTGTGATGTGGTTAAGCATATATTCATTACAAAACCTTTACTTGTTTGGAGTTATTTTGGTTTTTGAAACCTCACATTCTCAATAAAACAACAGTTGAATCCAATAACTCAAGGGTATTAGAATTTTTACAATTATATTCATAATTATATTCCCCAAAATTTCATTTGTCTGACTCAGAGTATTGTGAGTTTGGTCTTACTATGATTTGAATGTGAATTGTCCATCACAGACTCCATGTTAAATATTTGGCTTCCAGTTACTAGTGTTATTTTGAAAAGTTCTGGAAACTTAGGAGGCGGGGACTGTAACACATATTGGAAAATTGTCATGTGTGTGTGTGAGGAGGTGTAGTAAAGAAACCACCGAAATGGCTGCTCTGTAGAATGGTTAAGGGAGTGGGGTTGTTGTGAATGAAAGAGAGAATATACCCAGAGGTATATGCAAAAGTCCAGAGCCAAGGGAAAGAGGAGGAGAGTGAGTTGACCATCACTATCTATGAGAGACGGGAGAACATCAGGAGAGAAAAGCAGAGACAGTGAGATAACGCAAGACAGCAAGAAAGCCAGGGGACGGCAAGAGAGAGAATAGAAGAGCGGCTGGGTTATAAGGAGAATGAGTAGCTGGGGGACTTGAGGGGGAAGGAACTCCAGGAGGCTATCGTGGGCTTTGAAATTTATAAGAAGTAGTTGTGAGTAGAGACTGAGGGAGCCTGGAGGTCAGCATGGGTTTTGATATGCAACCATATGTCCATGTCCATAGAGAGCCATCTGTTCCTTCTGCCAGAGGAAGGGAAATGATCCCTTTTAGAAGATGGCAATTGAGTTCACAAGTTCCTGAAGAATGTTGGATTTTATTTAATCAGTAGAAATTCTTTGATAGTCCAGTGTAAGCTCTTTTTTTTGAATATATGAACTTCCTGAGATCTAGCAATGGGCTACTTAAACTTTTTTTTAAAATTTATTTATTTATTAAAAATTTCCACTTCCTCCCCACTTACCTTTTCCTTCCCCCTCCCCTCCTCCCACTCTCTCTCCAGTCCTAAGAGCAGTCAGGGTTCCCTGCCTCATGGGAAGTCCAAGGTTCTCCCCGCTCCATCCAGGTCTATGAAGGTGAGCATCCAAACAAACCAGGCTCCCACAAAGCCAGTCCATGCAGTAGAATCAAAACCCAGTGCCATTGTCCTTGGCTTCTCAGTCAGCCTTCATTGACAGTCACATTCAGAGAGTCTGGTTTGATCACATGTTCGTTCAATCCCCGTCTAGCTGGCCTTGGTGAGCACCCATTAGATCAGTCCCACCGTTTCAGTGGGTGGACACACCCCTTGCGGTCATGACTTCCTTGCTCATGTTCTCCCTCCTTCTGCTCCTCATTTGGACCTTGGGAGCTCAGTCCAGTGCTCCAATGTGGGTCTCTGTCTCTATCTCTATCCATTGCCAGATGAAGGTTCCATGGTGATAAGCAGTGTGCCTATGGGACAAGGCCAGGTCAGGCACCCTTTCCTCTGCTGCCCATGGAACATGCTGGGGACATCTCCTTGGACCTGGGAACCCCTCTAGAGACAAGTCTCTTGCAAACCCTAAAATGGCTCCCTTAATTAAGATATTTACTTCCCTGCACCCTTCCTCCATCGCACCCATCCCATTCCCCAAAGTTCTCCCCAATCCTCCCCTTCTCCCCTCTCTCTACCCATCTCCCCTTACACCCACCCCACCCCCACCCCCCACCCTTGTGCACCCAACTTTTGCCTGGCAATCTTGTCTACTTCCAATATCCAGAAGGATAACTATATGATTTTCTTTGGGTTCATCTTCTTATTTAGCTTTTCTAGGATCATGAACTATAGGCTCAATATCCTTTGATTATGACTAGAATCCACTTATGAGTGAGTACATACCATATTCATCTTTTTGGGTCTGGGTTACCTCATTCAGTAAAGCGTTTTCTATTTCCATCCATTTGCATGCAAAATTCAAGATGTCATTTTTTTTTCTGCTGAGTAAAACTCTCAAGTATATATGTTCCACACCTTTTTTAACCATTCTTCTATTGAGGGGCACCTACTTAAACTTTTTGCAAGTTGGTTCTGAGACTATGTAGCCGTGTCTTGAATAAGACTCAAGCATGGTTTTAGCATGCAGCCTCTAAAATCCTGGGCTGAGTTAGGCTGGCCACTTGGCTCTCTGTAACGGGGAGTATGGGTGGGGAGCAAACAGATAAACTCATCAGAAACATTGTGTTCTTGAGAACTCATAGAAGCCAAACCATGCCTCACAGACATTGCTATTGTTTAATTCCAAGATAAACACACACACACACACACACACACACACACACACACACACACACACA